TTAATGCAGCCAGGTCCAGAACAGAACCAGACCTGGTTTTAATGCAGTGGCCCCAGAGGGCCTCGTCCTTTGAGCTCAGATTTCTATTGATTCTTCTAATCTGTGGATCAGATTATGAACTGAAGATAATGGAGATTAGTCTTTATTCAGGAACTTTATTCTGAAATTCATCCAGGAAATTTATTCTGAAATTGTTCTTCTTGTTTTAGACAGACTGCTGAACCTCTGCCCATCTTTACGTCTATCAGTCTGTTTCTCTCCAGTCCTCTGACTGACCTGCTGATAATTCACCTCATTAGTTACTAAATTTTCCTCCTGGTTCTGATCCGGACCTCTGACTCTTAGAACCTTTAGTTATTCCTGGAACAACTCTTTACAGATAAGTTGCTGCCATCAGATTGAAAATGATCTATTTTTTCTTATAAATTGTACAATTTATTTTTTTTAGCATTTGATCATTTCATTGTGTTTTATTTTGAATAAAGTATGGGTTTATAAGAACCAGTGTGTCTCTGGTCCCAAGCCTGAGTAAATGGTGAGGGTTGTGTCAGGAAAGGCATCCAACCTAAAACTTTTTGACCAAAACTAGCATACGAATTCATCTAAGTGACACCATACGGGATTGGTCGAAGCCCAGGTTAACAACGAACGCCACTGGTGCTATTGACAAACAGGATGCCAGCAGAAATTGTGCTACTGTTAGTCGAAGACCACGAGGAGGGAAACATGTCAGGGGACAGAGGGAGAAGAGGAAAGTCAAGAATGTAGGACTGAGGGTTGCACCTCTAACTGTGGGGACAATGACAGGCAAAAGTAGAGAGCTGGCTGACATGATGCAGAGAAGGAAGGTAGATTTTTATGTGTCCAAGAGACTGGGTGGAAGGGCAGCAAGACTCGCAGCATTGGAGCAGGGTTTAAACTGTTTTACCATGGTGTGGATAGAAAAAGAAATGAATTAGGGGTGGTCATGAAGGAGGAGTTGGCAAAGAATGTAGTAGAGGTGAAAAGAGTGTTAAATAGGGAGATGTGCCAGAAGGTAGAAGTAGAAGGTTTTGTGCTAACTGTTGTCAGTGGTTGTGCTCGACAGTTGGATGTGATGTAGAGGAAAGATTGTGGCAGGTGAGACTGTGGCCAGACGGTGTCAGATGGTTGTGTGTAGAACGACTGTTGTTGTGAAGAACAGAAAAAGAGAAAAATCAGAGAAGACCAAATGGGGGAAGCTGAGGAAGGAAAAGTGAGGAGTTCAGAGAAGAGCTGTTAAAAGCTCTGGGTCGTTAAGAAAGAGCTTCCACATAACTGGGCTACAACAGTAACAGTAATTAGTAATTAGAGACAGGTAGGAAAGGTACTTGTTGTGTCATCTGGACAGAGAATAGATCAGAGCTATTCCACTGGTGGCCTTCAGGTGACTTCAATCCGGCCCACCAGTGAGTTCATAAAAAAAAAAAAAAATTGGGGTGGGGGTGGGGTTGTTCTGGATTTATGATTCAATGCAACAAAACAAACAAATTTAAAGGTAACAGGCAAATGTAATACTTGATTTAGTTACACAATGACTTTAATTGCTGGATGTCCAGCAATTGGGGGAGTGGTGGCGCAGAGGTTAGAGAGGTGGGCTTGTGATCCGAAGATCGCCGGTTCACGCCCCGGCCCCGACAACATCAAAATTGTGGGTGGGGTAGGTGAAACACCCACACTTGCCCCCACCCTCATTCGCCCCACTCTGGGCCCATGAGCAAGGCCCTTAACCCCCACCATGTGCTCCCTAAACAGGTCTCTCTTGAAAATGAGTTCTCGTGGCTCAATGAGACTAACCTGGATAAATAAAGGCTAAATGAAAAAATAAATAAATAAATGTCCGGCCTATGAGCTGCTGGCTTTCAGTACTGTGGCCCCCTAAGCAGTTTTGATGAATAGCCCTAGATTATAAGGGAACCTGGTAGTGGAATAGTGAATTGCAGGAAGCTATTTAAAGAAAGAGGTTAGTCAGTAAGAAATATGACAGTGAGAACAGAAGAGAGGTGACAGAAATATAAGGAGATGCAACATAGAGCAAAGTTTAAGTTGATGAGTCACACAATGAAGATCTGGGAGAGAGTTTTGGAAGCTAGACTTAGACGAGAGGTGACTATTTGTGAGCAGCAATATGGTTTCATACCAAGAAAAAGTACCACAGACTTGTTTTTGGTCTTTGCTTTGAGGATGTTGATGGAGAAGTACAGAGAGGGTCAGAAAGAACTCCAATGTGACTTTGTGGATTTAGAAAAAGCATATGACAGAGTGCTGAGGGAGGAGGTGTGGTATTGCATGAGGAAATCTGGAGGGGCAGAGAAGTGTGCTAGACTGGTACAGGACATGTATGAGGACAGTAGGACAGTAGTGAGATGTGCTGTAGCAGTGACAGATAGCTTCAAGGTGAAGGTGGGAGTGCATAAAGGATCAGCTTTGAGTCCCTTCTTGTTTGCTCTGGTGATGGACTGACTAACAGATGAGGTCAGGCAGGAATCCCCATGGACTACGATGTTTACAGATGTTATTGTGAGCTGTGGTGAGAACAGGGAACAGGTGGAAGAGAACTTGGAGATGTGGAGGTACGCACTTGAAAGAAGAGGAATGAAAGTCAGCCGTACTAAGACAGAGTACATGTGTGTGTGAATGTGAGGGAGGAGGTGGAACAGTGAGGCTACAAGGAGCAGAGGTCACAAAGGTGCAGGGCTTCAAGTACTTTGGGCCCACTGTCCAGGTCGAGTGTGGTAAAGAGGTGAAAAAGAGAGTCCAGGTAGGATGAAGTGGATGGAAAAAAGTTTCAGGAGTGATTTGCGACAAAAGGGTGTCAGCAAAGGTCAAAGGAAAAGTTTACAAGACAGTTGTGAGACCAGCTATTGTGTATGGTCTGGAGACAGAGACATGGACAAAAAGACAGGAGACAGAACTGGAAGTGGCAGAAATGAAGATGTTGAGGTTCTCCTTAGGAGACAAGAATGGATAAGATTAGGAATGAGATCATCAGAGGTACAGCACAGATTGAAGAGAGGTTGCTCCCAGTTCAAGTTCCCCTTGAACTGGGAGATAAAGTTAGAGAGGCCAGACTGAGATGATTTGGACATGTCCAGAGGAGGGGCAGGCATTTGGACATGTCAAGAGGAGAGAGAGGTGTTTAGATATGTCCAGAAGAGGGAGAGGGTGTATATTGGTAAACGGCTGTTAGAAATGCAGTTACCAGGAAAAAAGACAGAGGAGATATTTGCATGCAGTTAGAGAGGACATGGAGATAGTTGGAGGGAGGACAGAGGACACAGAGGACAGAGTGAGATGGAGTAGGAGTCGCTGTGTAGACCACTGAAGAGGGAAAAGCTGAAAGAAGCAGAAGAAGATTTAAATTTGTCACAATGGTCCAGTTTGATCAGAGTTGTAGTTGTAGATCAGGTTCATTCTGTCATGTTTCTCACAGATGCTCGGCTCGGGTTCTGCTATGCTACCCTGCTGAACGGACGCTGTGCCAACCAGAACTCCCAGCAGCTTACCAAAATGCAGTGCTGCTGTGATAGTGGGCGCTGCTGGTCCGACAGCTCCACACCTGAGATGTGTCCCATTCGTGGAACAGGTGGAGTCCCTCAGGATTGTTTTTTTCTTTAAAGGTTTCATGTCTAAACCAGAATTGACCTTGTTTTCTGTTCTACGTGTTTCAGAGGAATTCCAGCAGCTGTGCATTCAGACTCTGGATACTAGTGGAGTATTGATTCCTGGCCGTGTCCCAGGGAGTCCAGACCTACCTGGCATCTACCCGGTTCCTGTTCCGGGACAAGGGCATGAAATTATTCCTGGTCAAATTCCCATCATAACCCCGGGTCAAACCCCCGGCCAAACCCCCGGCCAAGTCCCAGGCCAAGTTCCAGGCCAAGTTCCAGGCCAATATCCGGGCCAGTTTCCAGGACAGTTTCCAGGACAATTTCCAGGACAGTTTCCAGTACAGTTTCCAGTACAGTTTCCAGGTCATCTCCCATTACAGCCTCCTCCACCAGGTACATCTCTGCTTTGGCTCTTATTGAGTCTTAAACCATCTTTGACTGTTGAACTTTATCTGCATCCAACATTTTACCAACAACTCGAGTCTGTCCTTAAGACAAGCTACAAATCAACAACAACAGTAACAACTGACAGCTGAAGCTGAAACATTTGACTGAATATTCACAAAATGAACCAGGTACTCTACAGCTGTACAACCTCCTGAGCAACCTGGTGCTAAAATAAAAAATCTTAATTACGTCAATGAACGGTGCAAACTCAGCATTCTTAGACGTTTGGTGGAATATGGACCTCATCTGTAGTCTGTTGTTCTGTTCTCAGAAATTAAAGTTACGCTCAAACTTTTCTGTCAATTCACAGATTTTAAAACTAAATAAACCTGATCTGGTCTTTATCAGGTCCCACATGATCCAGATTTGAGCTGAAGTGAATAAAACCAACAAGTTCCACAGACTCATTATTCATTAAATAGAAGCTGGGTCCTAAACTAGTTAAACACCAGATCAGTTTGATCAGGTCCTAAAACCTGAGAACTGAAGGAAGTGGACTTTGTTTTGACCAGGACTGGACTGATGCAGTATGAAGGAGACTGACTGAAGCAGATATGACCAGATGTCTTCATTTGGTTTTCCAGAATCTTATCATACCCAGGTTCTGAATGTTCTGCTGTACTACGTTCCTTTACACATATTTTTGTTTTTTATTCTGTTTATTTCCTTTTGGAGCAGCTGTGGCTAAGTGATTAAAGCAGTTGTCCTCCAGTGAGAGAGTCGGGGATTCAATTCCACCAATCGTCACATGTTGAAGTGTCCCTGAGACACTGAAGGCCTCGTTGTCTCCAGTGTGTCCCATCAGCATCTGAATGTGATCTAAAGCTCTGATTAGACTCTACAGAAGGATTTATTTATGATGTCTTTGTGTTTTACCATTGTGTTAATTTCTGTCAGGTCCTAATGTAATCCAAGCCCAGAACATCACCAACATGTGTCAGGCCTTCAGAAACCTCTGCCTGAACGGCCGCTGCATCCCCATGCCGAGGATTGGGTATCGCTGCGAGTGCAACATGGGCTTCAGGCTGGACACCAGGGGGGAGTGCATCGGTAAGAGTCTTTCATGTCCAGTTGAAATGACACCGGGGAGGTTCTTTAGCTTCGTGTTTGCTCTTCAGATGATGATGAGTGCGAAAGAAGTCCATGTGTGCACGGAGAGTGTGTGAACACCCAGGGCTCCTACGTCTGTCAGTGTCCTGTTGGTTTCCAGACCACTGCAACCCGAACTGAGTGCCGAGGTGAGGCGTGCATGCTCTCATGAGCATAAACACACAGTTTAAGAGTTTATGTGTTTGTTACAACCATGTGTGTGTGTCATCAGACCTAGATGAGTGTGTGGCCAATGGGCGGATCTGCAACAACGGGCGCTGTGTGAACACTGAGGGCAGCTTCCACTGTGTCTGCAACGCTGGATTTGAAATTTCATCCGATGGAAAAAACTGTCAAGGTGTGTTCAGATTCATAGCTAAAGTAGCACTGATGTGTTTTTATCACCTCACAGTGTGTAAAGTTTCAGTTGATGGATCTGTTGAAGGTTTAATACTGATGACAAGTTTTCTGCAGATTTGAGCTCATTTACTTCAAAAACACACATGGGTCTTATTTTATTAAACTCTCGATGAAAGAAATTTACTTTAGGAATAATTAAATCGTTTTTTCCATCAGTTTCCATCCGTCATGTTAGTTGGGTGTGGTCACAGATCTCAGATGAACAAAAGTAATGACGCATTTCAATGCTTTTTTATGCCGACTGATAAATTCCTGGTACCGATCCAAGTTCTGGTTTCAGAGTATCAGAGCATCCCAAAGTTTTAAAAAGTTATAGTTTTAGAAATTGTTAAATTCTTTCATCGTTTCATTTCTGCAGTTCAAATTCTTTTTCTATTTTCTATCTTTTTCTATTTCTATAAATTCTAATGTTCTGCCTCCAATCAGCTAGACCCCACCTCCTATAAAAACAAAACCCTGCCTTCTATCAGCTAGACACCGTCTCTATCATTCATTCAACCTTTATTTAGACAGGTTATTCTCACTGAGCCTCAGGGACTCATTTACAAGAGAGACCTGATTTCTTTAACAAAGAGTGATGGCAACAGTGGACAGTCATAAAAGAGGCATACAACTTGAATTATTATTATTATTATTTTTACAAATTAAAATAAAATGGCAACCAAAAGGACAGTCAAAAAAACAAAAAGCCCAGCTAGATTAAAAGGCAGTGTAGAAAACAAAATAGGAACATGTCTGCATTGTTTTTTTGCCAGGAACTTAACAGATGTTTGAAGGTCAAGGTCGAGAGCTTGAGATCTATTTGCAAGGTGTTCCAGGAAACGGGAGTGGCGTAGGAGAAGGCCCTTTTGCCTAGTTCAGTCCGCACTGAGGGGACACTGCAGGTAATAATGTCCTGAGAGCGCACGCTGAAGCTGCACTCACGCAGAGACATGTAGGAGATGTATGAAGGCAGCAGACCAAGAAGGGATTTGATCAACGAGACCTCGCTTAGTATCAACAAGACTTCACCTCCTATCAACAATACCCAACCTCCTATCAGCTAGACCCCGCCTCCTATTAGCTAGACCCCGCCTCCCACATCTATGATCTGCAGCAGTGGTGAGAAATGTTTTGATGCTCAAATGTGCTGCATTTGCGTCATTGTTTTTCAAGAGCAGAATGGCCTCTGAGGTGGAACCTTTCTGATAGTAGGCAGAGTTTTGCTGATGGTATATTAACTGGTTTATTTCTTTAAAAGGACTGGATGTTTAATTGAAATCTCACTCCTGGAAGAAGACAGTCAGGTCTAAAAGTCAGTGTTACAGTAGTCCCTCATTTATCGCGTGGGGTTCCGTACCCTAAAGACCCGTGATAAGTGAAAAACAGAGAAGTAGGAATAGTACTACAAGTAATAAGTAGTAGTTTATTTTAATATATATATATATATATATATATATAT